GTTATAATAAATGTATTAATAGAGCTGTTGTAGGGTAAAAATGATTAACATTATTGTCTTACTTTTTTATTTTATTTTACAGAACGACAGTAAAATTACAATACTATCATTTATGAATGTCGATGAAGTTGTTGCTTTTCTCTGCTTTTATTTTGGCAGAACCCTGCAGGAAGATCTCAGTGCTTCTTTTGGTTGACAACAGCATGCAGATTTATAAATGATTCTCATTACGAATTTGGGAAGATGTTTGTCGCACATATCACATTGTCACATGTCTTTAAAAAATGTCACAAAATGTTACTGAGCAACTGACGAGTAACAAGTTCAGCACAGATATTCCTCGCACTTTGAACCCTGGCGCCGCGAGCTTGTGCAGCGTTGTCAGAATACATGCAATTCGTGCGTGCATTAGAAGATATAACATTCTGCAGTTTATTTACTAATCGTTTGAGGTAATTTCGCGATTTCAATCATCATACAGTAACCTGACCACCAGCATTAGCCACCTCATCTTCTTATCGGAGACGTGATGCAGCACTAAACAGTCTCTCGCTGTCGGTGCTTCATGCTTGTAATGATTTCTGCGTCTTTCTCTGATAGTTTGAAATACTTTCACACTGCCGACATGTTTGCTGCATTAGTGCGTGGTAATTTCGCGATTTCAATCATCATACAGTAACCTAACCACCAGCATTAGCCACCTCTTCTTCTCATCGGAGACGTGTGATGCAGCACTAAACAGTCTCTCGCTGTCTGTGCTTCGTGCTTGTAATGATTTCGGCGTCTTTCTCTGATAGTTTTAAATACTTTCACACTGCCGATATGTTTGCTGCATTAGCACATGCCTCTATTTGATCGCGCTCGTCATTGTTCGGTACATATTATTCGGCCTTTTCGCTTATTCGGCCGAACAACAAAAGAGATTTTTTTTCTATTTTCAGCCGAATAATTTCGGTTGCCGAATATTCGGTGCATCCCTATCATCCACCAGTGCTTCGTGTTCAAGACTGTGAAACGGATCCAACTCATTTCCTTCCACTGCAACGACAAGTGGAAGATGTCACCGCTCCGACTCAGCACATAACCAGACAGAACATAAATCTCACTTTTTTCAAACCTCTTTCCAGAGACCATTGGCATTTTATTACACCTGTGTCTTCCTTGTGTTGATAATACAGTAAAAAGGCTCTACAAGTTAACGATATCTCACAAATCCTTCAGATTGGTCAGACTACAACTTCCTATAATTTAATGTAATTCTTATTTATTCAACAGTCTTCCATGATTGTTCTTTATTGTTAAGGTGTAATTCCTTGGCTGGTACCCCAAAAAATAGTATGACCAAGACTAAATATTAATATAAATATTTAAGCCCAAAGCCATTACACTGGTGGTGCTGCTTAAATCTAAAGTCACCACATTTAGTGGTGCCCCGTGTTAGCCTAATTAACATCTGATATCACTACAATATAAATATTTAGGTGCCTTTATTGAGCTTGCATTTATCAAATATTTTTGTCATATAGATGTGATGCTTAGTTATAATTTGGTGGAATACTTGATTGTTTTTTCTGAATTGTTTAATGTGAGTTTACTTGTATGAGCCATTTTTTTGTTCAGATGTTCCACATGTTCCAATGTGTTGTAAAAGAAAAGATTAATCTTTTGTTTCAGTTTAAAGTTGTTTACTGATATAGTGTAAACAATACAATACATTTCCCCCAGAAAAATACCAACTTTTTCTGTGTGTGCAATTGTAATCAATAAATAAATGATTAGTGTGTCCACTTTACATTAAGGTTCACTTTTACTGGTTACTAATGTTTGTAACTCATTAATAAATGGTTCACAGGTGTTCACTTTATATTAAGATTCACTTTCACAGGTTATTAACGTTTATAACTCATTAATAAATGGTTCACAGGTGTTCACTTTATATTAAGATTCACTTTCACAGGTTATTACCGTATATAACTCATTAATAAATGGTTCACATCTGTTCACTTTACATTAATGTTTACTTTCACAGGTTATTAACGTTTATAACTCATTAATAAATGGTTCACAGGTGTTCACTTTACATTAAGGTTCACTTTCACAGGTTATTAACGTTTATAACTCATTAATAAATGGTTCACAGGTGTTCACTTTACATTAAGGTTCACTTTCACAGGTTATTAACGTTTATAACTCATTAATAAATGGTTCACAGGTGTTCACTTTACATTAAGGTTCACTTTCACAGGTTATTAACGTTTATAACTCATTAATAAATGGTTCACAGGTGTTCACTTTACATTAAGGTTCATAAGTCAGGAGATATAAATGAGAAAAACAAATAAAAAAACCCTTCAGACTCACTATAACAGTCTATTTTTTCTGCATCATGAAATGAATCAGGAATCTAGTTTTGAGTGAAATAAGTATTAATAAATATATTTATTAAGCATTTATAATATGTGAGTTAAAAAATGTATCACTATTTGGCAGGTATTGCATTAAATTCACCGTTTTTGTTCATGCATTTATAACTGCTTATCAATGATTTATAATGCATTTGTAAATGAGTTATTGGTCATTTATGAACACCTTTATAAACACTTTATAAAGGGAACCTTAATGTAAAGTGTTACCATAATGTTTTTTAGCTACACATGACATTACTTCAAAATGTCTAATTTGTAACATTTGTTATAGGGAAAAAAACTCACCGTCTTGTGCAGTCGTTGCAGCCACCAAGCAGAACATCAAAATGATCTTCAGTGGTAAATTCATTTTCAGATTTTAGTCCAAGTGGCAGTAGAAAATAAAAAAAAAGATCTTCTGCTGGCAGGCTGCTTGGCACTACCCTCTGTTCAGTGATTAGAAGGTGATAGATAAGACCAGAATAAATGCCTCGATCAGAGGGGAATGCTAAAGATGAATGATGACCTAGGTGACTTGACGGCAAAGTCACGCCTCCCGGCATAAGGGTATTGCAGACATTTCCAGGTGTAGTAATTTGTACAAATGAAAAACAAAGGAGTCAGTTAAATTTTGAACCAATTATTGAGAAAACAAAAAATAAATGTAATTTGTGGTTAATGAGGGATATCTGAATATTTGGGAGGGTATTATTGTCAAAGGCGGAAGGTATATCTAGATCTGTGTATACGTCATTATTGTTAGATATGCCTCCAAAGATTATTAAAGATCTAAATGTGATTCTTTATAACTTTATTTGGAGAGAGAGAAAAAAAACTATTTAAAAAATGAGGGAGAGAGTTGGACTTATAACCCAAAGGTCATGGGTTTGAGTCTCGGTACTGGCGGGGATTGTAAGTGGGGGGACAGCGTACAGCGCTCTCTTCCACCCTCAATACCACAACTGAGGTGAGACCCTTGAGCAAGACACTGAACCCCCAACTGCTCCCCGGGCACCGCAGCAATAATGGCTGCCCCATTGCTCCGGGGGTGTGTTCAAGGTGTGTGTGTGTGTTCACTACTCAGGGCTGTGTGTGTGCACTTGGATGGGTGAAATGCAGAGCACAAATTCCAAGTATGGAACACCATACTTGGCCACACGTCATGTTCTTTCCTTGAAGAAAAGGGGTGCAAAAATTGGGTACAAATGGGTATTTTATTTCAGTACTTTATTTATAAAGTAAGTACATTTCAACTGTTCACCCTTCAACATTACTGTCACAAACACAGTCACATGACCAAAATGAATAGGGAAACATTCTGGGGCGCAGAATAGAAAAAGACAAAGTGAAATTGAAAAACAATGCATTAAAATAAGGACAGTGAAGAAGTTTTGTCTGGTAAGCTTAATATAATACAAACAAATCGCCTGAGAGCCCTATCATCTTCGAATGTAAACTAAAAGAGCCAATGCATATTGACGTGCGGGGTTTGCATCTCGCGCTCCACCCTGCAGCGCGGGTATAAATGAGGAAGCGGGTGCAACGCACATTCGGGTTTTTTCGCTGAGGAGCCGAGCCAGTGACCCAGCGCCCCGCAGTGGTACAGCAATTGTGGCGACGGACATGACGTCTCCGTTCCCTCCTTCAGGGCAGACATTCTCTTTCAGTCGGTCACGTTCGACGTCATGTCGGAATGTACCGACGAATTGGGATACCTAACAAAGTGCCACTATTACTTTCAGCGCCCTTAGTAAGCCACCTGATGTGGAGATTACACATATGGACTGGGCATTGAGAGCAGTATAACATATGGAATGTCTCTGAGGTGGCTCTGGCCCAGTTAGGAGGGAGTCAACACCGGCAGGGTTGGCAAGGCGGACTCTGCCAAGGGAAAGACACTGGCTCACCAAGAGGGGAACTGTACCGTGGAAGAATACACACATGGGATCACCATGGGGATCCCAACATATGGGCACCTAACCTAGCACAGGCGTCAAACAACAGGCGTACTTACGAGTGTTAGGCCTGGCGCCGGACGCTCCGCCACATCTGGCTGCCGAGGGTGATGGAGGAACTCAACAGGGTTCGCCTGTGGGGAACTGAACTGTGGAGCAGAATAAGCGCACATGTCCGGTCCGTAGAGGGAAAGGCGCAGCAAGCGAGACACCAAGCAGTCTCTCTGTGTTTACTGGCTACTCAGGGCGAGTACACGAGAGGACACTGGCTTTACACGAAGGCTATAAAACCAAGCAAATGTGCTTGGTGTCACCGAACCCGCAGCTCTACATATATCTGTCAGCGAGGTGCCGTGTGCCAACGCCCAAGAAGAAGCAACACTCCTTGTCGAGTGTGCTCTCAACCCGAGGGGGCACAGCACGCCTTGGGTTTGATACGCCAAGACGATGGCATCCACTTTCCAGTGGGCCAACCTCTGCTTGGAGACAGCCTTTCCCTTCTGCTGGCCTCCGTAACAGGTGAAGAGCTGCTCTGACGTCCTAATGCTCTGCGTTCGGTCCACGTATAGATAACGTGAGAGTCGGCTGGCCCGAATTCCAGGCACGATTTGTTGGCCGAAAATGCATGCAGGTCCCCTACCCTCTTGATGGAAGCCAGCACAGTCAAGAGCACTGTCTTCATCGACAATTTTCAGCTCTGCAGACTGCAGCAGTTCAAAGGGGGCTCTCTGCAATGCTGTAAGCACCAGAGAAAGATCACAAGAGGGAATGGAGTTAGGGCGAGGAGGATTCAGTCTCATCACGCTCCTCAGGAACTCCTCATGCTTTCCCAGAGATTCACCATTTACAGGATCCTGATGTGCAGTAATCGCGGCAAAATACACTTTTAGGGTGGAGGGAGACAGCCTTCGCTCCACCCCCTCCTGGAGGAAGGAAAGCATAGCTCTGATCGGGCATCTCCAGGAGTCTTCCCTGTGAGAAGAGCACCATTCAACGAACAGGTTCCACTTCAAGGTATAGGCACGCCTCGTAGAGGGTGCTCTTGCCGAAGTGATGATGTCTACGTCCACCTGGGGTAGATCAACTAGGACCTCCGCGTCCCATCTAGAGACCACATGTGGAGGTTCCAGAGATCTGAACGCGGGTGTCAGAGGGTGCCCTGTCTCTGAGAAAGTAGGTCCCTCCTCAGAGGAATGCATCAGGGAGGGGCTGTCGTGAGGAAGGATCTACTCCCTCAGAGACGGGGCACCATGTGGCACCCGCGTCCAGACCTCTGGAAACTTCATGTCTGGTCCCTGAATGGGACACGGAGGTTCTAGGTGACCTACCCCAGGAGGTAGTTGATACCATCACTTTGGCAAGAGCACTGTCTACGAGACACGCTTGCGCCTTGAAGTGGAAATTGTTCTTCAAGTGGTGTTCTCGCCGAGAAGACCCCCGGAGATGCCCGATCAGGGTCGTGCTTTTCTTTTTGCAGCAAGGGTTGGATCGAAGGCTGTCTCCCTCCACCCTTAAAGTCTATGTTGCTGCGATTGCTGCTAACCATGACCCCGTGGAAGGGAAGTCGGTAGGGAAGCATGACCGGGTCATCAGGTTCCTTAGGGGGCGAGAAGGTTAAATCCTCCCTGGCCCCCCTCAATACCCTCTTGGGACCTGACTCTAGTGCTCAAAGCACTACAGCAGGGCCTATTTGAGCCTTTGCAGTCAGTTGAGCTGAAGTTTCTATCAATGAAAACTCTGCTTCTACTTGCACTGGCCTCCATCAAGAGGGTAGGGGACCTGCACACATTTTCGGTCGATAAATCATGCCTAGAGTTTGGGCTGGCTGACTCCCAGGTAATCCTGAGGCCCTGGCCTGGCTATGTGCCCAAGGTTCCCACTACTCCCTTCAGGGATCAGGTGGTGAGCCTGCAAACGCTGCCCCCGGGGGAGGCAGACCCAGCCCTAGCTTTGCGTTGTCCCGTCCGAGCCCTGAGATGGTATGTAGACCGGACACAGCTTCAGGACCTCAGATCAGCTCTTTGTCTGTTATGGATGCCGGCAGAAGGGAAAGGCCATCTCCAAGCAGAGGATGTAGGGGTGTCGCGACATACCGGTATTGACGATAACCGTGATATTCAAATAATGAAATATCGACATCGTGTTAATTTAGGGTGTGACGATATACCGGTATTGGTGATAACCATGATATTTAAAATGAACAGGACACTTATGATAACACGACACGCAAATAGCCAACTCCAGCGCCAGTACCTGGTTGACCTCCCAGGTGGCAGTATTGCACCTTAACGCCGACACCTGTCACACAAGAAGAAGACGCAGCGCGCAGCCACACTACTCCGAGAAGAACCAATAGTATCCATGCTGCGGGTCTGCAGATGAATATATCTCAGAAGAACCATGTTCAATATTATCCAGACAGTAAGTTGCCATTATTTTACAGCCCTAGTTTTGCTCTGTCCCGTCCGAGCCTTAAGGTGCTACGTAGACCGGACGCAAAGCTTCAGGACCTCAGACCAGCTCTTTGTCTGTCACGGAGGCCGGCAGAGGGGAATGCCGTCTCGAAGCAGAGGATGGCCCACTGGATAGTGAATGCCATCACCCTGGCTTATCAGGCACAGGGTGTGCCCTGCCTGTTCAGGTTGCGAGGTCACTCTACTAGAAGTGTAGCATCCTCCTGGCCGCTGGCTCGTGGTGCCTCGCTGACAGATATTTGTAGAGCTGCGGGCTGGGAGACCCCCAACACGTTTGCTAGATTCTATAGTAGGAGTGTCGCGATTTACCGGTATTGACAATAACGGTGATATTCAAATAATGAAATATTAACATCGTTGATTCTTTTAATAAGTACCGCGTTTTCTTTACTCGTCTAATTTTTGTATTTGTATTTGCAATCAAGTCATGGCCAATACTGCCTTTGTGTAGCAATTGATTTCTTTGTTCAAATCTATTACACGATTAAAACTGATCTAGAAAAACTGAGCGACCACATTAAACTCTGTAAAATGTAAAGTTGGTCGCAGTGCCATGCACTTAATGCCTCATCTGCGGTCGTTCTGGGTGCACATTAATACTGAATTAGAAGCACGTTAACGGCATGACTTCATTGTCGACTTAACAGGGTTAACAGGTTAAAGTATCAGATTTGATGTTAATTCAACTTGACAGTATTTTCTCTCTTGTTATTTCATAGGGAGCTTCAAAGAAGACAGAGAAAGCCAGAGTCTCAGGTCAGCTGTGACCTGAAGAAGAAGAAGAAGAAGAAGTGAAAATGCATGTGCCCTGTGTTTATCAGTATCCTTATGTTCATTGGGTAAAAAGAAAAACTAAATAAACAAAGTAAAAATT